TTATCAGATATAATTTTAAATATACTTCATAAAAAAAAAATATAAAAAATAAATATAAACAATTAAAGAAAATTTTAATCAACATTGTCTATCATGAAAAAAAATTAAATTAATTAAATCTAAAAAGTACTTTTTTAGAAAAATGAAAATCGTAAATATTAAAAATGTGATTCACAAAGTTGCATTAAATTTTATTATTCATGTCTTAAATTTAGTTATATTACAAAAATCAAATATTTTGCAATAGTGAATTATAAAGTATACGTTGATTTTAATCTGTACAACTAAGTATACGTTTCTCTGAAATAAAATCTCCGTCGTTTCTCTGAAACGACAAACAATTGTATCTGTTTTTTTTTTTTTTAATAAGTGATTGTAAAAAACAACGTATGTATTTGAAGTCATTATAATAACGTAGACTGTAAATTTTCACTATTGATAAATTGATTTTTGATATTTTCTTTGAACCTATGAATAATTATTCCAACGATATATTTTAGTAGTATTAAATTTAAGAACAAATATTTAAAATGGGTTATCTCTCTATTGAAATTATAATAGGAAATAAATTTTTTAAAAATTTAAAATCATTTACATCAATTATTTATAACGTATTTGTAAATTGAAAAAATCTTAATATCAAAATATTATTATTCTATTGCCAAAAAATTAATAATATCTAAAATTTCCATTCAAGAAAAAGCTTTTTTTTTTCTATACTTCATATTTTCAAATTCCATATACGTATATAGCTTAAATTCAATGTTATTTTTTAAATCCTCATTAAATTTTTAATTTTCCATTTTTCGTTTTTGTTTTCTTATTTCTTAATATATTTTGGCGTAATTCTATTTTTTAATTTCTTATTATATTTTTGTTTATATTAATTATGTGTAATATTTTCTCATTCTTCATTGAAGTAAATAACGGTGTCATATACTAAGATCATCTTTCAATCATTAAAAATCATATCATTATAATATATAATATATAAATAACTATTAAATGGTTATTTATATAAAATTTATGTTATTTTCAATTGTTAGCAAAATAAAATATTATTGTAAATATTTAATTGGCGTAAAATCAAGAAAAAATTAAATAAAAATTAATTGATTTTTTTGAAATTTTCTAAATTTCGCTTTGTTTTTTTTTGTTAGATTCATTATTTTCCATATACAAAATATTTGAAGAAAACACTTAAACTTTTAAACAGAGAATATAAGCTTTATTATTTTTTTTAATGAAATATTAAAATCTTTCCATATTTTGTAAATAGAAATATTTAATTCAAAACACTTTTTTTTCTATCTAAATGATTTTTAATTTTTTTTTTTGAAAAATTAATTAAAAAGAAAACATTCGTAAATTATGAAAATGTGATAAATTTTCTACTTAATTAATTTTAATTTATTATATTAAATAAAATAATCAAAAGAAAAAACAAAAAAAAAATTAATATAACTTTTTTTTTTATATAAATTGTTGGTGAATGTCTGAATTAAATGTCACAATTAATTAAATTGAAACAATCTATTCGAAAAGTTTAAAAATTAAAAATTTAAAAATTAAATTATAATTTACTTTTTAATTTCATTATACAAAGTGTTAAAAAAATCAATCGTAATAAAAAAAGAAAACAAAAATACAAACTATATACATATTTACAATTTAATATATTATTACTTTTGCCAAAATTTTTTGGTAAATTTCGAAAATATATTTTATGTATAGTAAAATGTCAATTAAAAATTTCTTAAATATATTATATTTTTTGGCTAACATCGATATAGCACAGTATTAAATTATATATATATATATATATATATATATACATATATATATATAAATATATCATTCGATGTTATCTTTCTGTTAATATAATTTTTATTTAAAATATTAATTTAAATTTCTTCATTTCCAAAATTGCCAGTTTTAATTTTATAATTGTTTTATCATAAAATATCAATTTTATTGTCAATAAGCTATTAATTAAAATTTAAAATAAATATATTAGGTTTTGAAAACTTTTAAATACGCCTTTATGACAGATAAAATCTAAATTTTATCATATTTAGAATAATAATTTTCAGAGGGGTTTGCATATCAAACTGAACATCAACCATAATTTAATCAACCATAATTAAAAATGTACTTCTTTAAATTAACCTAATTTTTTATTGAACCGAAGTTATATTCAAGCACATTTATTAAGAACTCAATGAGTATGTTTTTGGAGTACTTTGTTTTTTTTTTAGGATAAACTTTAAATTAAATACATTAAAATCAATTTCGTATACTAAAGTATTCATTATTATAGCTAAACGATTTAAAATTATAGTCCGTCGTTAAATTGCTGATTTAATATACAAAATATTTATAAATAACATTTCTTTGTGAATAACAATAAACTTAAATAATTAAAAAGAACAAATTGTAAGAGAATTTTATTTTGCAATTAGTTATAAGGGTTATTAATAAACTATCGAAATATATATAATTATGCATATTTTATATAATACCCATTTATATAATAATTCAATTTTTAATAATTATAAATTTAATTTTTGTTGATTATATTAAAATTTTATATTATCAATTTTTTATAATTAATATTAAAATTCTCTTATATTCATTTTATAAAAGCAATTATGAATGGAATTTTTAGATATTATATATATTATAAAATTTAATTAATGAATATTTCTATAGTCGGTATTTATTTTTGAACGAATAAAAAATAAAATAAAATTTAAAATGGATTAAAATTCAACAGTCTGTATTTTTGTACCCTATTTTACCGTATTATATTATCTTACCGTTATTACTCAATAATATTAATAATAAAAAAAAAACGTTATAGTTTTACATTTATTTTCCTTAATTTAACAAAAATTTCCTATTTAATATGCTATTATATAGTTTAATTATTTTTTTCTTTTGTTGAAAAAATGAAAATCCTTTGTAGAATACCAAAGTGTAATATGCAAGAAAATTATTAACCGCATACAAAACTGCAGTGTCAATTTATAAAAATAAAGTATATACTAAAAAATTTCATAAAATAATTTTCATCATGCATGAAATAAAAATAACAAAAAAAATCTCTTTTTGCTTATATGCAATAAATATATGAAATTTTTATCAAATATCATTAAATACTTATTATTATTTTATTTTTCCATAAATACAAATAGCTATATACTATTTATCCCTCTAACTATGCATTAAACATTATAAGAACCTACTTAAATGATACAATAATAAAAATAGTACCAAAACTAATATGACATAAAAAAATATTTTAACATAACATTCCAGAATAATTATTTACACATGTATACCTTATTTTTATTTCTTAAACAAAATAACGAAAGAAAATAAAAACATGAGAACATGCACAATTCATAACATTTAATCCAAAAGCACATATTTAATTTTACATGTTACTTTTGATTTTATATGATTTTATTTATTATTTTAAACAATTTATAAATTTTTATAAAATGTTTTAACATTTTTTTTTAATTAAATAATTAATTGGTTTTTGTTTTCTTTCCAAACTTTTTCTATACATACATATATTCAATTTATTTGTACAATACATAGTTGAAAGAAGTAGTTTTTGAACAAGGATTTTATTTATAAAATAAAACTTTAATAGGAATTTAATTTAGGATTTCAATTTATACTTGTATTATATTGCATACTATACTTGTATTACATATATATATATATATATATATAAGTATTATTAAAATATAATTTGATTTAAAATCTAATTAGTATATAAAGATCAAGAGCAAAAAAAAAATTAATTTAACTTAATTAATAATCATTGATTAACTTTAAATTCGAAACCATCTGTTTCAATATTTTATAATTCAAAATCAGTTCGCATGTACATTTTTTAAAATTTTTTTTTCCGAGAAATGTCAGCATCTACGAATAAAGAAATATAAATATTTTTGAAAAGTTATATATATATATAAATATCAAAATATTTAATGGCTTTCACTTTTATTGATGCATGCCTTTATGAATGTTCCCAATGTAAAAAATGAAGAAAAGTAATATAGAAAAACCATTCCAGTGTTAAAGTTAGAATTTTTTTCAACATAATCGTGTTTCATTGACCACTGTCCGTTATTAATACAGAAATCAAATTTAATGACACTTTGTAAAATAGATTTCAAATATTAAAATATAATTTTTATTTATATATGAATATATATATTAGTAATATAAAAAAGATTGTATATAAAATTAGATGAAGGTAAACTTAAATTTAAAAATCTTATCCTTATATTTTTGGTTATATTCCGAAATTCCACTTTAGATATCTTCCCTTGTTGGACCATAAGGGTGAAGGTGAACAATTAATTGATAACAATATAGTTATTAAATTTTAAATTTTATTTAAAATTTAATATTCCATCTGTATATTAATTAATTCTGTCTGAACTTTTTTTTTTTGCTCTTGAGTCTTAAATTACAACCATACTATAGAAATTGTTATTTTTTTTTGTTAAAATAAAAATATATTTGTTTAAAAAAATTATTTATTTAATACTTTTTTCTTTTGTTTCTGTCTATTATTTTTTTTCACTTTTAACTTCACTATTTTATTCATTATGAAAATTAAAACTACCTACAACCAAATAATATAATCGTCACAAAACAAAATTCAAAAAAAAAAAAAAAAATTTCAAATACCAAAAAACAAAAAAATGTAAATAAAAATTGCATACCGTCACGGCACCGTGCATTTTTGTCGATATGGAAATTAAAAAAAAAATATTTATAAAATATAAAATGAAAATCATGGATTAAAACAAAATGGAATAAATTATTACAACTTTAATTTTTTTATTGCAATTTCTATATTGATAAAAAAAAAATAATATCAATAACAATGACAAAACGGAAAAAAAACATTAACATTTTTATCAACAATATTAATGCACGGAAATGTATACATTTGTTATAAATGAAAATAGTTTACAAAAACAAGTTAGCGTGATGAGCATGAATCTATCAGCAAAATTAGATGAATTACAAAGAGGTGACAGACACTTGGAGACAACGGTCGCCTTGTGTGAAATTCGAAGTCAACTTCAGGAGCTTACAAAATCTGTTGAAAGCTGTCAAAGTGAAGTTTCAGAGGTAAATTTAAAAAGTTTTATAGTTTTATTTTCAAATTTTGAATTTATGAATTATAATTACAAAAAATTAGATTTGTAATTAAAAAAATGTAAATTAGTATGTCCTATTTGCATATATACAAATACATTTCTTAAATTAGATATTAAAGTTACGACGAATAAGTTTTATATAGTTTGATGCTTTAAAATTAATAATTAAATTTGTGTGTAATATAACTTTTTTTTCTAAATTAATAGTAGTATGGTATTCACAAATAAAAATTAATTATGTAGGTATGTATATCTAAAACCGTGAGACAGGTTATTATTAGAATAAGTATATTAGCAGGTTTATAGTGAAATCGAATATGTAACGCAAGTTCCATGACAAAATGTGTTTAATATAATTTGGACAAAAGTGTTTGGTTACTTCCATATCATTTGGAAAAATAAAATTATACCTAAAATGTAGGGTAAATATTAAAAAATTTTTATAAATTTTGATGAATATATATGGGCAGGTACACTTGGATTTTTTCACATTATAAATTTCGCATTTATAATAGCGAAAACCCATCATAGCCACATATGTACATAATACGTATATCGAAAAATAAGTAAGCAGGTTCCTACATAATTATTAATTATGTATCTAATAATTATGAATGTAATATTATTTAACATATGCATACACTCTTCCAACTGAAGTTATTGCTCAATAATTAACCAAAAGTAATAATTGGTATACCTAGGTGGGCACACCAATATACTTACCTAATTTTGAAATAATTTGAGGAAATTCATTATCCAAATTGATTTTTAAACAATAGAATAACATCTTACAATAATAAATTACTTTTAGTACAGTTTTCACATAAAATTATCTTTGATTACGATTCACATCTTATGTTAGGTACATCAATTGCATTGGAAATGCATATTTTTGTATATATGTAAATATGTTTGTACATAATTCGCAAATCAAAAAATTTGTAATCAACAAGATTTTCTACTCCATAGAGAATATCTAAAATTAAAAGATCTAAATGAAATTACTTCAAATATAATTAAAATTTTAAAACACGATTAGAACCAATTTACATTGCTGACTTACTTGACTGCAAATACTTAGGAACTTGTCAGTTTTGTTCTAATTAATTTGGTTGAATCTTCATTTTACAATTACTTATGCCGGTTTCTTTTAATTTAATTTTCTTACATCAAATTATCACCTTTTAAATATATGTATAAAATATTTTAATTATTACTTGTTTCTGCAATATTTAAAATTTTTTCTTGAAAATTGAAATCAAATTAGGATTTTTGCACTTGCGGTATATTTACAACTACAGACTACACAGCAACACAGGCAAGGCAACTTATTCGTAAAAGTTTTTGAATTTTGACTTAATTGTTGCTTTACTACTTGCGGCTGATTGACAGCTGACAATATTTTCTTACAATTCACAATTAAGTAATTCAAAATTTCAATCACAATTGTAGTTTCGTAATAAATTTAAATATGTATTTGAAATATTTGAAGCGTAACATTGATTTTTTTTCATTTTAAAATTTTTGTTTATTATATACAACACCGCATAAACAATATTTTACATAAGTTTTCATTTAATTTATTTAATATTTTTTTAAGGAAGAAAATTTAATAATCCGTACATTTTTATTCTAAAGATAAATAACTTTAATACAAAATTTTATAAGTGAAACTCACCACAGTTACTGTTTAATAGGAAGAAAAAAACACAAATCACTCAAACGTATAACACTTTTAACAACATCAATCAACCCGAAAAATACATATACAATATTATTATGTTAAAGTTGAATAAAGAAATTTGTTTGCGAAAAATGGTGAATTTTCGTGGTGAAAAAGTTCGTTTTCACATGTTGATGCATGTATGTAAACCTTTACTTTTTTTATTCTAAGAATTGTGGTTCAAACATTATTACGAACTTGAAACATTTGAAGAATTTGCGCAATTCAGTGTTCAAATTATCATACTCATACTTTCAGTGTACGAACTTCTTATTTCTGCATCCCTATCACAAATATTATATCGAGCTGAAATATTATGCAGAAATTAAAAGAAACTAAATATAAGAATGTTATTTATGTAAAAATGTCTTAATCCAGATAGTAGAGCTTTTTACTAAAATATTTTCAAGCACAATTTAATTCATTAACATGTTGAAATTCACCACATCATCAAAAGTTGAATGGGGGAGTTCTCATAATAAATAATTGTAAATAAAATGTAAAAAATGTTTGATAACAGTATTTAAAAATTTTTTATTAATCACAATTCATTTTTTTTGCTTTCTGTTTCTCTTTCTTCTATTTTTTTTTCTCTGTGTTCTTTTTTTTCTTTCTCTTTTCTTCCTTTTGTTTCAATTTTTAAAGGTGAAACGTGATATGGTAGCAATTAAACATGAATTAGATACTGTACAGCAAGTTAAAGAAGAAATTGAAGAGCTACGCGAATATGTTGATCGTTTAGAAGAGCACACCCAACGTCGGAAGTTGAGACTATTGGAACAAGTTCGTTTGACAAATGTTAATTTTTTTTTGTTACATACTTACATCTTTAAATAAATATATATATATATACTTAAATTAATTTAATTTTTTTTTTACAATGTGTTATTTAATATATTTTTTTTTATAATTAATTTTGGAAAAAGGAATCGGAAAACTTTTTGTAATTAAAATTTTTGTTATTTATTATATTGAGTACAATAAACATTCCAGGATTTCATTTGTTCAAAAAGATTTTTTTAAATAATAAAATAAAAATTACAAAATATTCTTTTTTTGTTGTTTCATTTTTTATTTTCCAAAACAAATTTTTTATTTATTTTTTTATTTTATTCTTATATTTTATTTTCAATACATATATATATATACATGAAAACCATATTCATTGTTGGCACAATATTGGATTAATTTGATTTTTTTTTGTTCTCTGACTTTCTGATTATTAAAAAAATTACAGGGACTGACATTCTTTTTAACGTATGCAATATTTGCTGCTGTACTTGGTATGCTCCAATTCGGATACAATACAGGTGTTATAAATGCTCCCGAAAAGAATATTGAAAATTTCATGAAAGATGTCTATAAAGATCGTTATGGTGAGGATATTAGTGAAGAATTTATACAACAATTATATTCGGTTGCTGTTTCAATATTCGCTATTGGTGGTATGTTAGGTGGTTTCAGTGGTGGATGGATGGCAAATAGATTCGGAAGGTAAATATACTTTTTAAAATAATGAAATTTTTTGTTTTCCTTTTTTAAAATAAGTTTATTTAATATTGAATTCTTTTTAATTATTGTAAAAAATTACAGGAAAGGTGGATTATTATTAAATAATGTATTGGGTATATCAGGCGCCTGTTTGATGGGTTTTACAAAAGTGAGTCATTCCTATGAAATATTATTCCTTGGTCGATTTATAATAGGAGTTAATTGTGGTAAATGAAATTTATTTTAAAAATAACAAATTCATATATTAAAATTTTGAAATATTTTTATAGGTTTAAATACATCATTAGTACCTATGTATATATCTGAAATAGCACCGTTAAATTTGAGAGGTGGTTTAGGTACTGTTAATCAATTGGCTGTGACTGTAGGTTTACTTTTATCCCAAGTATTGGGTATTGAACAAATTTTAGGAACAAACGAAGGCTGGCCAATATTACTTGGTTTAGCTGTGTGTCCAGCTATTTTACAATTAATATTACTTCCGGTTTGTCCAGAATCACCTCGATATCTTCTTATTACAAAGCAATGGGAGGAGGAAGCACGAAAAGGTAAATATTATAATTATATTTTTTTTTTAGCTACAAATATATTAAAATTATTATATAAAAATATAATAAAATAATAATTTAATTTTAGCCCTTCGAAGATTGCGAGCATCAAGTTCTGTTGAAGAGGATATTGAAGAAATGCGTGCCGAAGAAAGAGCTCAACAAGCTGAAAGTCATATATCAACAATGGAGTTGATTTGTTCACCAACATTAAGGGCACCACTTATAATCGGAATTGTTATGCAACTTAGTCAACAATTTAGCGGTATTAATGCAGTATTTTATTATTCTACATCATTATTTATAAGCTCTGGTCTAGCGGAGGATAGTGCAAAATTCTGTTCAATTGGAATCGGTGCTATTATGGTATATAAACAAAATATTCTATATATAATAATATTTTGATGATATATATATACAATTATATAAATTAATATTAATTTTTTATATTTTAGGTTGTAATGACCTTAGTTTCCATACCACTTATGGATCGAACCGGTCGTAGAACTCTCCATCTTTACGGTTTAGGTGGAATGTTTATATTTTCTATATTTATAACAATATCATTTTTAATAAAGGCAAGTATCGTAAGAGAAATTTTTCAAAAATTTGCATGGATATTACGATACATATTTATTACATAATTATAATAAAATATTAAAAAAAATAATTTTATTAAATATAAATTTGTTTAAAATTATTATTTTATAATAAAGTTATAAATATGTATCAAAAATCAAATATTATCGATATCAGTTTAAGTGAAATAATTTATAAATATTAATGCAATTCTAACAGCGCGAACATTTTAATTATTTTAAATATATAAGAAGAATTGCATTATTATTTTACTAAAATATTATTTAAATGTTATGTATATAAGAGGAAGCAATACGATTTATGAAGATTACTATGAACCTACATATTAAAATTTAAAATTTAGTAAGACTAAATATAAATAGCGTTTATGTTAAAAAATTATAATAAATTTATTCTTTAAATAAAATTAATCATATGGAATATTCTTCATAAATCGTGCTTTTCTCTTAAACTTTATTGTCGAATTCTTAACTTTATTTTATTTATTATATAAAACATTTGTAAAAAGAAAAACTGCGTTGTCCAATTGTTTGGAGAAGCTTAACAGAAAAAAATTTTTATAGTTACTATAAGGTAGGATAAAATAATCAAGAAATTTATATCAGGATTAGAAAAGCAATTCTTATAATAAGATGACTTTATAAGTATGTAATATTATTTATTGATTTTCAAATCGAGTTGCTTCAAATTCAGAACACCCAATTAGATATAAAATTAAAAAAAATCTTAATGTTTTTAAATTAGTTTAAAGATAATTTTTAATTAAAGCTATAATAATTAATTGCGACAATTGCAAACCGATTTTAAAAATCCATTTGACTATGAATTCATCATTCTTATACAGATATGAAACGATTATTTGAGCCGAATTATATGCAATATTTTTTTGTTGTTTAACTTCGAAAGGCAATATGTAATTGTTTTCCAGTCGTAGCCTAAAAGTAGTCAAAAAAATTTGTAAAATTTCTTGTTCATATGAGGGAATTTGTGAATATTTTTTGTAGTTTTGGGAAATTTTCTTATAAAAAAATATTCATTTTCTTAGTTAATAAAATTTTTAATATTTTAAATTACATAGACCAGTTTCTGTCTCTAAAAACAATTTCTCTGTTTTGTTTTTTTTTTTTTTAAATTAGGCCAAATAGATATTATTTAAAATGAATTAGACCAATTCGATGGAATATAGCCAAATACAATAGTGGAAAAAAATTTATAAGCTTCTCCAAACACACACTTTTATAAAATAATTTTTATATTTTGCATGAACATTAAATTGAATGATAATTTGATGGAATGCATATTTTATTTAAATTGATAATTAAAAAAAAATGTCGTGGAATGAATTTGTTGTTGTCAATTTTTTTTTTTCGTTTCATTTTATTCAATTAATTTTTTACTTTTCAATTTCATTAAATACGGATAAATGGTATAGGATTTTTTATGTTTTTAATAAAATTCCGAAACAGTCTGTTCTAATTTTAAAATTTAGTAAAACTGGTTCTCTTTAAAATAAGTTCTACTTTGAATTTATAATAATATCTTTATTAAATTACGATTATAGAGAAGTACATCTGTTTCTGTTGAATTGATTTTCCAATAAAAATTTTGCATATATGCTTAAATGTTTATAATGCAAATTTTTTAATAATATTTTTTTTTACATCGTTCAAAAAAGATTTCAATAATTTTATATACTTACGTTATTAAATAAAAAAAAAATTTATTCTTTTATTTCAATTAGAAAGAACGTAATTTATAATAATGTGTAGAATATAATTTTTTGTAATTAATATTTTCAACCAAAATTTGTAAACTGTTCCATTAAAATATTACACTACTTTCATTCCCCCTATAAGGCGCTTATAGAGAGTTGAAACAAATTGCTCAACAAGTTTAGATCAAATGAATTTGTCCTTAATAAAACTATTAAAATATTCTCAACATACTCAAAATTTAAACTAAACACAATATTATTAGGCCCCCATTTACGATATGCTTTATAAAAATTTACGATATACATTATAAAAATTTCATTTAGGATTAAAAATTTTTTTTTAATATTTTTTTTTTTTTAAATTATTAATTTTTATTTTAATTTATTTTTATATAGTTATGTTTATTTAATTTGAAATTGCTTGTTACCATATAGTGAATTTTGCTTTAATTTATGCATCTTATAAATGTTTATTGCAAATCTTTTATGTCTGTATATAATATAATAGTATATTCAATTAGAATTTTTCTAATTTAGTTTAGTTATATTTTAACACTATCTTTGTTATATAAATTATTAAAAATAAAATATTATATTGCTTTTGAATTCACAAAAAAAAAAGGCAATTAGTTTTGTTTTTTTTGTTCTATGTTGTTGCTTAAATATAAATAAAATTACCACGAGAGGTATTTGCATATTTTGATATAGAGAGCATTTAAAAGCAAACACGCTAATTTTATATTTTAATAATTAATTCACATATATAAAATGAAACACACGCATAATTTCGATTCTATATATTTTCTTTATTGTTATATAAATTAAAATAATATTGCTTAATAAATACAATTTAATTAATTTTTAATAAAATAATTTTATATACATAATGTAAATAAATAAATTCAATATTATTGTATTATATTGTACATACAATTTTTATGTAAAAAAAAAAAAGATTTTCTTTCTTTTGTTCTTTATGAATGCTTTCCTTTCGAAACTTGCAACAACCTCTTATACTATTTAATAAAATTGAAAAATTATTTCTATTATAAATGAATTTTTGTTTTATTTTATGTAAATAACCAATTTATTCTTTTGGTACTTTATTATCAAATTATCTAATTCTCATTTCTACAATTTCATTTTATCTCTACTCATTTATTTTTCAATTTTTCTGTTAATTTTTTTTTCTTCTGTTGTTATGTAATTTATGTAATTAATTAGAAAATATAAATTTTATTTGTTTGTTTTTCACATTATTAATTAATTATTAATGAATTTAATAATAGTTTGTTTATCGTAAAAAATAAAGTAAATTTTTTTTAAATGAAAAATTAAATTATCTTACATAATATTTTGAATTCTAATTTAATTAAATTTCCAAATATTTTATTGATTATGATATATTTAGGCTTATTCTGAATATCAAATCACTAAGTGATATTGATGTTTATCGTAAAAGTCTGAAAATATTATAGAATTTTATTATAGACACGAATCATTTGTATGAATATGTTTGTGCTTACAATAAAAATATTGAACTTTTTACGATAAATATCACTAAAATTTAGTGATTTGATACTCAAAATGAGGCTCATTATGTTGATATGAATTATGAAATAAAAATTTAGTACAAATTACAATAAGAAATGTACTAAATGTAGAATGTACTAAATTTTAATTTTTTTTTTAAAAACACTTAAACTCAAGATCTAAAATTTGCTTGAACAGTATAATTAATTAAAAATTTGTATAAGCAAACTATTATTATTTAATTTAAGGTTTAATATGAATAAATGAACTTGGAGAATTATAAAAGCTGGGTAAATTTATATATTTTTAAATAATTATATTAAAAAAGAGAGAAAAGTTCATTTATTCATCTTTAGTGTTTAGGTAAATATAATATTCTCGATTTGCCAGGCTTTTGTCCCAGCGTAAATTTTTATCATATTGTGTTTTTTTTTTGTATTCATTTAAAATTATTTTGGGAACTTTTGTACTAAAACAATTAAATAAAAAAAAATATTAATAATAATTAATGATTTACTAATAAATGTATATCGGAATTCATTTAATTGTTATACTAAAAACAAAAAAAAAATTTTGCAGTTTTAAACATTTTTTATAATAATTAAGTTTTAGTATTTTTGTTTTTATAATTTCATTTAGAATAATTTTGTTTTTTTTTTTTTTTTTTTAATATTTTAATCACAGTTTAAAATGATTTTGGCAAATATTTTATTAAGAAAATTTTTATTTTAAGTAAAATATTTTATTCTGCTTTAGCAGTTTTGTAGCTTCAAATAGGTACTACAGATTATACCGATAATTTTAGAATACTACCGACCTTAATTAATTTTAGAATACTATCTTAATTAATTTATTACTCCATATACCAATACTCTGAACTATTTAAACCAATACTCTGAATTGTGTAATTATATATACCAAATTAATAATGAAATTTTCAATTTTAAAACCCTAATTGAATTAATTTTTTATTATATATAAATACTTAATTTACCATAGGTAAGAAATTTTTAAATATAAATATATATTTCTTCAAGATAGTTTCTCATAATAAGGATAACTTAAGATGGTATCGTTGTTTATATGAGTGTTATACGTTATTCGAAATTTCAATATAATTAATTATTATCTAAAAATTGTGATTTACAAAATATATGTATATATTTTTACAAAATTCATATTCATTATTTCTACTACAATTATTATTCTTAGCAGTGAATTTGCTACAACATTGTTTTACTTCACATTATTTAGGCCTGCAAAATTTCAAATTTTGAATGCAAAAAAGAAAATATTTGCCAAATTATTTTTATGTTTTTAATTATTTACAAAAATTATTAATTTTTGCGTAAATTGTATTTGTTTTTCCAAAAAAAAAAAAACAAAGTGATAATAATAAAATTAACAACACTAATTAAGTATGGATTTGGTGGTCGCACAGAAAAAACAAAACTTAAATATAAAATAAATAAAAAGTACATATTAGAACACTGCACTGGGTTGGAAAAAATAAAAATCATAAATTTTTATAATTTTTTTTTATCATAATTTTCCATTTATTTGTTATTTCAATATTTTTTGTATTTGTTTTGTTCATTTTAATTTTAATTGTTTGTGGTGGTAGACAATTAATCCTAATAAAATGTATAAAATTTTTGTACAATAAATAATGTCTTTTTTTTTTAAAATAACATGGCATAATGTGTGTAGCCGCCAAAATATATGCAATTTGAGAATAATTACCAATTATACCAGTTATACAGTTAAAATATTAGTTGAAATAGGAGTTGAAACTTTGCAGGAAAAATTTTGGGAAATTTATTTAAGGAAATTTGTTGTAAGCAAAAAATCAAACATATTATAATTTTATTGTTTTTTTTCCCCTTTGATTACACTTATTAGAACTGCTGCTTAGTGATTAGATGAGAACTTCTAAAAAAAATTATATATGTACTTGAAGAATTAATAATAAAATACAATATCATTATTTTATTTTTCAATACCTTTGAAACTTAATAATATAGGAAGGGTGTTGCAGCAAAAATCAAAATAATATTTTATGATTCTATAATTTAATTCAGATTTTATTTTTATTAATTAAATTCAAGGTATATTATTGTATAATTTACATTATATTATTGACTGTATACTTTGGCTATATGTAGAAAACTAAAAAAAAAACTTTATTTCACATGCGTAATTAAATGATTATCAGTAAAATGAAATGTTGCCAATTTATAAAAATAATTACAGAATTATTAAAAGGGTTGAACATATTATTAATTTATTACTCTTATTGTGAATTTCACTCGCAGAATTCTACGAATTTCAAACAAAGTTGAACGCACGTAGAATTTTTAGTAATTATAAATCTCATTCGTAGAGATTATGAATCTGCAATGGCAACATTATTTAAATTTTTCAAATTTCATAGTAGATATTTAAAAAAATAATACAAATTTTAATAAAAACCTAAAAAACGGAACCGTCAACCGAACCTTCTGGAATATTGGCTTTCTACGTTTGAAAATTTCATTAGTAGAATTTTGATATTTATTTTCATTCCAAGTGTAATTCATAATTACTCTATTACGAATTATTTACGAGTATTTACTATTACGAGTGAAATTTACAATAAGTGTGCATAATTACAAAATTATTTACAATCAATTAAATAAAATAAGAGAAAATATTTTGTATATTCAACAAAGAGTTTAACAAAAACAAAACTTATAATAATGAAAAATTCTAAAATATTTAAAAAAAAAAAGATTTTTGTACTTATTTTGTATTATAAATTTTTGTTTTAAAATAATTTATTCACAAAATTTATAAAACAACAACACTTTCAACCAAAAAAAAAAAAAAAATTATTCAAATATTTTTGTTTTTATTTTAAGAACTACCTAATACAAATTCACTTAAAAAAATCAAATATTGTGCAAGTTTCGAAACAATATAAAAAAAAAAACAATAAAACATTTTATTTTTTAATTATACACAACGCTCCTAGATCACCAAATTTTTTTAAATTTTTAATTATTTTAATTTTTTTTTTGTTGTTCATAATTTTTACTTTTGACATCAATTCAAATTGTCATTTACTATACACTTTTGAGACAAAATATAACACCTAGTATAACACTTTATAATCAAAAATATAATACTTTTGTACAAGAAAAAACCGCAATTTTCAAAAATCAATCAAATTTTTCATTTTGCTTTAAACTTCTATAAAATTCAATTAAGTTTATTAAAAATTTCTTTATTATTTTTATTTCTTTTTCATATAATTCAAATTTTATTTATATTATTCAATAATTAGTTTTTCAAATTACAAAAACTAAAATGTAAAGTTTATAAAAAAAAAATATGTGGCAATACTTTACATTGAAAACTAATCCTTAATTGACGAGGTTATTTTTTTATATAAATAAAAGCAATAATTTCTTGCCGCAATTTTTTTAAAAAAAAAAAACAAGTTTTCAATAAAAATTTTTTTTTAAAGTTTATAAAAGAAAAGTTAAAGAAAAATCACACCAGTTTTTCTGTTTAGTTTTTTATATATTTTGTTTTTCCAATTTTTGTATAATTTTCACCAAACATTATCTATTATACATATAAATATATATATATATAGATCAAGTACTAGATAAATTGTTAAAGATATTCGTTAGTGAGATAGAGAAAAAATATTAAAATAGAGGTAGGTATACACGATAAAGAATCGACCATATACATAAACGTTCAATAATCGCAACATATAGATACATTAAACACGCATCTAAATACTAGTGGTATACAAGTCGTGTATAACTCATTAATTCTTATTATTACTATATATATTAAGTGTCTCGCTTATATTTTTCGCACATCATTATTCTTCTATTTGCTTAATATAATTTATATCGTATACTTCTAAAATTTTTAAATAAATTAATGAAAATACACTTTTCAAACAATATTGAATCATTTACTTTATAAATAAAATGGTGTTACAGGTAAATAACAAAAGCCCTCTGCAGTATTTTTTTTTCAACTACTATAGTTTGTGTTAAATACGAAATATCTGAATCCGTAAATTAATTTTATTTTATATATAAAACACTATTTTCGGTATAAAATAATATGAAATTTTCGGTAAAACATAATATCAAAAAATACTTTTGACGGATTAATTTCAAACTAATTTTATATAAAGCATTTAAGGTCAATATAAACCTGTAAAGTTGAAAAAAGAGAAAGAGAAAATTTTCCGCACCGGAATGTCAGAATATTTAAATGACACTACTCAGAATCATGAGAAATTACCGCCACAAATTTAATTGCCGTCGATGAAATAGTTTAAATTTATATTTGACCGCTGACCGTTTTCATTTGACATCATCTATTTCCATAATATGTGTGTAACATTACATGCAAAATACTGTACAGTTGATTTTGCCGTCCTGGTGCTGGTCTCGGTTAACAACGGAAATTGTCTGCCGTTGCCGTTCATCGCTTTAATACTGTTTTTATAGTAAATTAGGCCTAATTGTACAGAATCTCATAATGTTATTAAAATTATTCACAATAGTGAGTTATTTAATACTCACTAAATAATAAATTATTATTAATTTAAAATTAAGAATAATCGTGAATTATGAAAAAATTTTGTAAATGATAAAAAAATAGTGCTGTTCCAAATTTAGTACTTGGTCTCTATTATTAAAAAAAGCAAATAAGAAAAAAAAATTATTTTATATTTAATTTTAGCTGCTAATTTTTATGCCCGATTTTATTTATTTTCTTTGTTTTTCTTTTTATTTTCTGAACTTGAACTTGAAGATAACTTTGTAGAATTTTATTCCAGAAAGACTATGTGAATATATATATATATACTCTAAAAATTATATGTATATACCCTTCTGGAATTTTTAATATGCAAAATATAATTATACATAAAATAAACTCCAACCAACCTCTTACAGTGCAGACTAAGAATCTATATTTTAAAAAAGCTATAGAGTTAAAAAAAAAATTCAATTTCTTTTTAAAAGTTTTAAAGAATTTTCTTTGTTTCTTTTTTTTTTTTGTTTTTGAAATTATATTTTTACTTAATATAACAGTTTTCTTTTCTTTTTATAATTTTAATATTGTGTTTTAAGTTTCTATATCAAAATTCTAATTCAATTTTATAAATTAATGAAATTAATCTTAAAAGAAAAACCGAGAAATAAAAAAAAAATTAATTTTATTCATAATAAATGAACCAAAATTCTTTATCATTTATCATTAATTTATAATTTTATCTCAATGGAATATTATATTTTAAATCATAGTGATAATAATTATTGTTTTTATTATATGATTTAAAATTTTATGACTATGTAAAACTATAAATTAATGCTAGAAGAAATTACAAAAAATTCCTGTCAAAATTCTTGTTAAATTTTATAATTTTTAAAAATAAATACTTTAAAAAATTTATTAAAATTTCATTATAATTGTATAACAAATGAAATTTTAATAATTTTTGTTATAATTGTAATAAACATATTTTCAAAATCAAAATCATTTACTGAAAGAGAAAAAATATTCTTATAAAAATGTTTTGAAATTTTGATAAATAATTTGAGAGAGCAAAGAAAAAAAAAAAAGAAAGCCTTCCAAATACGAGAATATGTTTATTACGCGTTTTGTATAGGAGTTTTTTGGTTATGTACAGGAAATGATCGATTGGATGTCATACCTATCTGTAATATCAACATTAGCATTTGTTGTATTCTTTGCTGTTGGACCTGGTTCAATACCATGGATGATAACTGCAGAATTATTTTCACAAGGTCCAAGACCAAGTGCAATGGCAATTGCTGTATTAGTCAATTGGATGGCAAATTTTGTTGTTGGAATTGGTTTTCCAAGTTTAAAGGTAAATTTTTCTTCCTATATTCTTCTATCTTAATTTCTAAAAAAATAATTTACAAAAAGCGCCTAATAATGAATATGTAGATACTTACATCAGCTATTATTATTTACGTACATATATCAGAAAAATACATTTTAACATTTTTTTTTTCATTTTCTTTTTAATTTTTTTTTACAGTCTGCATTGGATAATTATACATTTTTGCCGTTTAGTGTATTTTTAGCAATATTTTGGATTTTCACATATAAAAAGGTTCCTGAAACCAAAAATAAAACATTTGAAGAAATTTTAGCACTATTTAGACACGGTAATGGAAGGTATGTAAATTTTTTTTTTCAATAAATTTCAGTTTTTGTGTTTTCAATTTAAAAAACAAAAATAATTTCAGTACATATACATTATACATAAATATATATTTAATTATATAAATATATATTTATAAATTATAAAAATATTGTCAACAAAATTCTAAAATATATAAATAATTTAATTTTTAATAAGCCTACATTAGAAATATTTCAAATTTTACAAAATTCTGACATACGAAAGATTGAAAAATATTAGAAAAGAAGTTTTATAATAAGAACTGAACTTAAAATTTGGACAGAATTCACAATCAAAAGTACACAAAAATCACAAAACATTACTAACAAAATATTGTTATATATTATTTTTATTAATTTTTTTTTTATTTTTTGAAAAACCTTTATTTTAGAAAACAATTATAACTAAATTTAATTAAATAGAAAGTAAATTTCCTAATTAGGTAATAAGATGACGTTATAATTGTTTATTTGTTATACAACATATATTTTTTAATCACACATATAACAAAATTTCAAAAACATCATAATATTTATTATATTGAATAAAAGAGAGCGCTGATCAACAAAACTTAATACGGTACTATGGCAACTTTCTTTAATACCATACGTTAATCATACATATGACATTTTATTTAGTTCTCAAAAGCTAAACTGGCAATACGACGGCGTTACTAAAATTTGTATGAAAAGTTTTTTCAAAGTTTTTTTTATAAAAATTTAAGCTAATTATTTGTTTCATTACAATTCAATGTAAGTTTTAAAAAATTTAAGTATGAAGGCCATAATAACTTTTTATTTTACTTTAAGATTTCATTAAATTATCAAAATTCTCAAAAGCAATGTAAAGTAGAAAAATAATTGAATGAGTCTGAGCCTGTTCAAGAAAATATTTTACGGAATAAAACAGCTACTAACATACATACATAAGTATGTAATTTTAAAAAATCTCATTACGAACTTAAAATTTGGATTTTAAATTTGGATCAGAAATTTGATGATCACACATGAATTATTAGTGAAACAGGATTTTCATTTACGATTTTACATTGTAGTACATATACAGAAATGCCTATATACTTATGTTTACATGTATACATAATTAACCGTATGTATAATACAATCCAAGCGTTCTCAGCATGGTGTGCATAGAAAAAATTCAATATTCAAAACCGGTACAATGTATGTGCAAAGTAAACAGAAGCATTAACGTAGCTCATGAACATACTTAATTAGGAGTTCTTACATTAAAATTTTCATAAATGTAAAATGCGGTTTGTATTTTTAACATCTTTTATTGTCCCATGTGTTAATCAAGGCAAGAATCTTATTTGATCTTAATACAAAAAGTTTTATATAAGTATGGTTATGCTAAATTAAGTTGCAAATAACATAAGAAATCTACTACAAATTACATTACCAAATCTAATTGGGTCCAATTCCAATTACAAGATTCCTATCGATTTGAAACATGATTTTTGAAATGCCAATTTATGTAAGAAAAATTCAATAAACGTAAAACGTATCAGATCTTAAATCAAATAAATATTTGTTGTTTTAAAGAATATTATGATTTGTTACACCACGATCTACATTATAATGTTCATACACATACTCGTAATCTTATTTTAATTTATTTTTTTATATTTTAAAATGAAATTGTATAATTTCTATTATTTTATCATTATTTATTTTTTGAATAAAAATTTTATGTTAATTTTATTTTTCATAAATTTAAAATTTAATAACAATAATTTTTTTATACAAATAATTTAAAAATAACTTTCTGTTTTTAATGAAATTTTTATTTAAAAAAAAAAAAACCAAAAATAATAAAATATCAATAAAATTTATAAAATCTTCGAATAATTAAAAATAATTATAATAATTGTAATAAAAAAGAAGACCTCGAGAAAATCGTTTGTATAGGTAAGTGAAAGCATGTGAAATGAAGAAATCACTATACAAAAATTTAAAAAGCAAATATAAAAGTTTGTTAATCCCAAAAAAAATTTGTACAATTTTGTTGTTGTTTCTATTTTGCTTAAAAGAGCCAAATTTAATAAAAAAATTTTTATATATTACAATATAAATATATTTATATTTTTTTTTTGTAGAAATTATGAGCTTGATTTTATTCTTTAAATTTATAATACTTAAACATACATATTATTAAATGAACCAAACATTTTTATTATATTTAAAAGAAAGGAAATTTATTGTTATTATTTTATAATTTTTAAACAAAGCAGACAATATTTAAGAATAAAATTTCATCATTTCATTTTAAAAAGTTAAAATTTTAAACAAAAAAAAAAAATTTCATCACTTTTCTTTATGTAAACCCATGAATTCCTCTTAGAATTAACAATTATTGTTTTTTTTTTATATTTTGTACATATTCATACATAATATATATTTATAAACTAAAATTAAAAAATTTAATCACATCCTTTGATAACTAATTAAACAAAATTTTTTTCTTTAACTAATCAAAAGCTATTGGCTAAAAGCTAATTAATTTTATCACCTAAATGGTGTAGTTTACAAAAAAAAAAATGAAATTTATTGTAGAACTTTTATATACATATATATATATATATATATATATATATATATATAGCACATCCCCTTAAAATCATTTAAATATTCATTTAATGTTTATTTATTTATTTTATATAAATATAAAATATATATACAGTTCTAGTAATATTTTAAATTATCTGTTTATTTTTTAAATATTTTATTTAATTATTTATTTTAATTTTTTGAATTTTAAATGGAAAATTGGCATTTCCTAATAATATGACTATACTTTTCACGAGCATATAACATTTTTTTTTTTAATTCTTTATGGTTTTTTCTACAAAAACAATTTTTTCACATTGAATTTCATTAGAGTGCTCTAATCTCATTTACATACTAAATGTTTAAATATAATATTTATTTCATAAAATATTTATATTGTAAATTATTTACATATAACTATTACAATATTTTCACAGTGTTCATTAGAAAGCAAAGCAATAAAAAAAAATCGCATTTTCTATCTAAACTATACTTATTTTTCAAATTAATATTAAATACAATCATTTTCATCATACGTCCGTAGCCTATAATATATATACAACCTATATAGATTCTATTACAAATTTCTTTCACAATGTTTTCATTAAAATCAAACTATAAACACCCAAAAATCATATTTTAAAATAGAATTAAATTAATAATTAAAAATATTTTAAAATAAATAAAAAAAAAAATGCCAAAATTGGAAAAGGATTAGAAAAACTAACTACATACATAAATGAGATTAAATATAATGAATAAAATAATGGCACTATCAATATTCAAGTAAATATTTAATTTGTAAATTCAAGTAAAAGTGTTATTTATACATGAAGCCTAATTGTGATGTATACGGGTAGAGAAATTAAAACTGATTTAATTCCATCCGGGAAAAGATTATTCATTTGAATGTCAATTTATGAATTAATTAGTTTTAAAAGCAATTGAAATTGAAAAATCAATGAAATTAATTAATTATGTATTGTTTTTTTTACATGATTATGTAAAATATTAAATAAGACATGACATTCGTTTACATCATGGTATTATATCACGTATATTATCGTATCCTTATAAATTTGTTTGTTATTTACAGTGTCTGTTTACTGTCTTGCCATCTCTTACTTGAAGGTTGAAGCAAGGACATTGAAGAGTTCAGTAAATAGCAAGGACTAGAAGAATAGTTAATAGAAGAATAATTAAAATAATACATAATAACATAAAAATCATAAATACCTAATTTTATTAATAACTTTGACTAGTTTAAATAGTTAAGGATTTAAATATATTCTTTATTATAGTTAAGGCTTTATTCTTTAATTTTACCCATTTTAAAATTTAAATGGCTTTAATCTTTTGGAAATTTATTAATTTATGAATAAAATAGGGAAATTTCGTGGTTGAAAATAATATTGACAATGTAGGCAATCGATTTCGTTAAAATAGTATTTATGTTATAAAGAGTTTTAAAATATTTTTATACTACACATTTGTAATAACTGGAATAAAATTAAATATCTAGAACTCTTATATTTAAATAAAATGTTATATAGTGTTAAGATTTCTAACTCATTTAATTGTATCGTATTGAAATTTTTAATGTAGGAATAAAAAAATTTCAGTCGTACAATAACTATTATCAATTATGTTATTTTTAATTTTATATTTTTTATTAAATTTAATTTTTAATTTTATTTTGATTTATTTATATTAAGTATTATGACTTTTATTTTTTTTTAATTTTAGCGATGAAACAAATGATCAAAGTACGTCAACGAAAACTTCTAGAGTACAAGAATAAGAAAAAAGATTTGAAAAGAAATTATTTTCAATAGTGCAAGATAATAGATATAATTTATTTTAAAATTTATTGTATAATTTTTTTTTTTTTTGATTTATGTTCTTTTATTTTTTTATTTGTAAATAATTTTACTCAGAATATTATGTTTTGTATATGTATATTTTATTGCATAAAATCTTAAATATCTTAAAAAAATAATAATGTTTTGATAGCATATAAACAAGTTACATAAAATACTATGAAAATATAAGTTAAAAAAATAAATCCTTTTAATAAATAAAAATTATAAATTAGGAATTTATAAATCATAAATAACTTTTAAGAATTATTTAATTAAATTTAGGTATAAAATTAAAATTTCCAATACTCCTTACAATTATATTTCTTTAGAAACCATAAAAGAATTAAGTTGTTTTATTTGCAAATTATTTGCAAATTTATTATAATGTAGTTTAAATCTATTGTATTTTAAAGAAATTTTCTTTGATTTACAAACTGATATTATGTATTCATTATTTTCTGCATTATTGTCTTTAGCTGATTACACATGTCTAATATGTATAAACACATTGTAAAACTTTTCAAATTAAATTTGTGTGTAAGTGTTCTCTACTGAATTATATTTATAATTATAATTGATATACCTATCAATTTTATTAAATATTATTGTCATTTGTATTAGTAAAATTTTTCACTACATATCATTTTAGTTTCCCTTATTCTGTATGGGATTTTGTATAGCTATATACAACACAATATTTTTAAGGTATTATTGAGGATGTTTAGTATCTTAAGAAACATATAATATGTTATTAACACTACAATTTATTACTTTCAATATTAAAAAAAAATTTGGAAGTTATAATTTTCTTTTTGAAGTTTAAGTTTTTTTTATTTTGTTTTTTATTTAATTTTATATTTAATTTTAACAAAACAAAACCAAAAACTAAAACTATATTTAAATTAAAATAAGAATATGCACATATTGCAAATAAAACCAATGACATTTTTTCAAAATACTATACAAGACTGAAACGAAAAACAACTTTAACAAAAATTTATATAAAAGGGAAAAAAATAAAATGCATTTATGTAGGCTTTGGATACGAATTTAATGCAAATTTTTGTATACAATACAAAATTTTCACTTCTAAAGATCTTTATGATCAAACTTATTCAAATTCACGTTACACATTAAACTTTTAATAATTTCATAGAAGTTTTATATAATATTAAATTTTAATTCCATAACAATTATAGCGGTTTTTTTGATTATTCGTGAAAAGCAGGTAGCATTTCACTTATTTTTATGCGAAAAAAAGCGGTATACATAAAATAGAATGAAATATAAAAGAAAATTTCAAAATATTTATGTAAAAAAAAAAACAAAAAACAAACAAACAAAATTATTTTTAAACTGCACTTAATTACATAATCGTAGAGTATGCGAATTTCAGGAGTATGCTAAACTGCGTAAATAGTTTGGAGCCCCAAAGTATGAACTCTGGCATAGAACATGCCGCTTTGATGGTATCAGAGGAAAAGACCCAGCACGATTCACGTAAGATATCTTATTCATTGATCAAAAAAAAAAAAAAATACAAAATGTAATTTTAAACAAAATTTTTTGAAAAAAAGAACCAAAATAATATACAAAAGTTTCTGTTATACCTACTTATGAAAAAAAATAGCAAATAATTTTTTATGTTTTTCTATAAAATTTTTGTAAATTGTCCTATTTAATATTTAATGATTATATAAAAGAAATAAAAACAAAACTACTTTATTTCTTTTTTTTTTTTTTTATGAAGAAAAAAATATTAAATTTTTTTATGTATTTTCATTGTTTAACAAAGAAATTCCATTGCAACTGAATTTCTAACTTAAAGAACAAAATATGTTTTTTAATATACAAATATATTTATATATAATATAAATATATATTAGAATATGAGTATGCTTTTATATCTAATCTATTAAATAATATAAAATATAAAATGTACTTGTTTAAAATTAACTAAAAAATTGAAAATAAAATCCAATGCATGGTCAATTATTATTGAAAAACTTGTACTTGAAAAAAATTCAAGCATTTTATGTTTTTAAAAAAACAATTTTTTTTTGTAATAAATAAATACCAAAAAGAATTAAATAATTGGTAAACATTTACACTAAAATAATTATATTTGAATTTGTTTTTCATAATTTTCATTTATAGATTAAATTAATTCTAGCAAACTATTAAATTATATAATTATAAAATTTAATTTTAGATTAAAAATATTTAAATTTTAGATTTATTAAATAATTTTATTAAATTGAAATAAGACTTTGTTATAATAAATAATTATTTACCATGCATAATATGAATTATTTTTTTTAAGTATATTGTATGAAACTTCCATTTTATTTCATGGTGACATTGTTTAACTTTTGTACATTAATTTTTATTTGATAAACTTATGTATTGGCATTTTTCTATATTCATTAATATTATAAAATAGTAGAATAAAATATCTAAAATTGTTTACTTTTAATTTGCCTTCGTTTTGTTTTTTTTTTTCTTTTTATTTTTCAAGTTATGCATAAAAATTGTTTATAATTTTTTTCTTATAATATGATACTAACCAAAAATTTTTAATTATACTTGCTATTTTTTTTTTTTTTTTTTTGTTAATTTTTCAGAATTATGTTAATTTTGTTTTCGCATTTTATAGCTTTCCTAATTATTATGTAAATGATATAATGTAATAATTTATTCTATGATAACCATATATATATATATATATATATATATATATATATATATATATATATATATATATATATATATATATATATTTTGAACCGATTCCATCATTAATCTTTAAATAATGAATTAATCAGTTAGTATAATTTTACAAGGAAAACAAATATTTTAGGTAATTTTGGTATCAATAGTAAATACACAAACGAGAGATATCACTATTCTAATTATAATTTCTTAATAACTTTAGGATTTTTCGGTATTTTGTTTCACAACTTATGAATATATTTTTAAAAAAATGGTGTAAAATATAAAATATTATTTGTAAATACATAATATTAATTACATGACTGCACTTCAGAGTTTATTATACCTAATGTAAATATTGAATGAGAATTATATTGTAAATAAAAATTAAATATCTTATTTTAAAGCCCAAAAAAATACTATTTAATAATAATTTTTTAAATATTCTATTTAAATATTTAATTCAATATGAAATGACTTGTCTTTTGTAAAAAGTAAAGATTTGTGTTAAAGTAATGATAGATTCTATTTAAATTTATCTAAATTTAATAAAATAGTTATGTAATAATTAAAATTTATAATCTTAAAAGATTGTCTTTCACACATATTTTGGAAAATTTCTAAAACATAAAATAGTTTTGCAGTCATAATTTCCTTTTTTTATTTATAATAATGTTCTAAATTATGGAAATTTTAATTTATTCTTAACCATAAATTAATATTTCAAATTCAAATTTTTCATTTTCTTTCATAAATAAAATTATAGTCAATATAAATCTAAACTTCTATTAAAATATAATATTTACAAAACTTTTATATACTTTGAATAATAGTAAAAATTTTTCTGAATTGTAAAACAAAAATATATTAAAAATTCTATTCTTCACTAACAGTACTATTTGACTATATTTAATTAATTTATTTTATTTCTTTATATAAATTGGTTTATTGTGTATATATGATAAATATTTACATGAATATATACATATATAAAAGTAATTCTTTTATATTTTATTAATAAGTATAAGTATAGTTATTTTTATTTTCATTATAATTACGTTAAAAATTGAAATTAAAAAATCAAAAACAATAAGTATCTGAAATTTTTTATTTAAATTTTTTGGGTTTGGTTTTTGCTTTTAATTTATTTTATACATATACTATAGTCTTGTAATTATAAAAAACTTGTATTGTGAAAATAAAATTAATTATAATCGACAATAATATTTGTATTCCATTTACATGATAAGAGTTTTGGGTACGAGTACTTAATTTATAATTGGAATATTATTTTATAATTAAACCTTTTCGAGATTTAGATTTTGATATTTAAATATTCATTACAAAAATATTAACACCCTAATGTATATCGGCATATATCGGCATACTTATTTCAATTACTGTGTTCATTTGGAATACTTGAAAACTTAAACTATAGGAAGGATTATTATACATTATAATGTCTGGTTTTCTTTTTAAATTAAGTATTTGTTTAAAAGAAAATGCAATAAATTAAATTTATTTATAATTCGTTATAATTTTCTTAATATTAATTCGAACTGATTCTGTTATGTTAGATAAATTAATTTTTTTTTCCACTTTATTAATAAATAAAGTAAATAAGCGAAATTCATATTGTGACGTCAATTATTGTTATTCAAACTTAAATTTTTCAATTGTTTTAATCATTATTAAAAAATTATATACAATATTGTTTTATATAATTATTACAAGTCGATTATAATCATTATTTATTTTTCATATATACAATTAATATTTTATATATTGAATGTCCTTTTTTTTCTAAATTTTCTACATTATATATTTTACTTTTATATGTATGTACATAAAATTGTAGCTATGATTTTTTTTAATATTTAATTTTAATTAATTAATATTTAATTTAAATACAAAATTATATTACTTCACAGAATATTTTGATTTCTTGTTTTTTTTTTCTTTTTTAAAATTATTTATTTACAAATTCTTTTTTTAATTAAATTTTATTATTAAATTATATTATATTAAAACTAATCCAAAAAAAAAATATTTTCACTTTGTGCAGTTTTTATATATTTTTTATATATGAAACAAAAATCAACAATCATTTAAATAATAATTAAACATTTTCATATAATTTATTTATTTTTTCTTATTTTATTTGTGTTGGGCTGAATTTAATATTGGAATAATAAAAAAATAAAAAAACGAAAAACGCATAAAAAAAAATTTTATTTTGCAAAATTCAAAAAATCACACAATAATATTATTAAAAATATCTCTCTCTCTCCACTCTGTATTATACATTGGAATAATAATGGAATCAAAATATCAAAAAAAAAAAAATTAAATCAAAAATAATATTATTCAAAAACAAAAACGTAATTATAAAAATTAAAATATTTTTTTATTATATTATTATTATTATTCATTAAATAAAAAATATATAAATATATAAAATTATATATACACGTTAAAATTATAATTATATGCAAAATTAAAAAAAAACCAAAAAAAAAAAAAAAACAAATATGAACTATTATAATAATAAAAAGTTTTTGGAACAACCTCATTTTCATTAATGGTTGAAGGCATGGGACCTTATCCTCTGAACGATAGTACAAATTTATTGGGTCCAATTTCAAGTAATAGTAATATACCTGGAGTTCCGACAACATGTCGTTACGTTAATTATGGTACAAATAATTCAATTACTCCAGTTCCTATACGTAAATGTGTTTATCAAAGAGATAGCTTTAGAAGGCATTCAGCGCATGGAAGAATATGTCATTCACAAGGTATTATAGTTAAATAATAACTAAAAAGAAAAAAAAACAAAAATAAAAAAAATAGTTCACAATCTCTAATTCAATTTAAAATATACAAAATATATAATAAATATTTTATATAGAAAATAAAATATTAAAAAAAAAAAAAAACAAAACAAAAATATCGCACATAAATTAATTCAATTCTCTTTCTTGTTTTTTTTTTTCTAAATAAATAAAAAAAATAACTATAATTTTGCAAGAAAAACAAAAATACCATGCAAAGAAAGCAAAAACAACTAATACAGCAGAAAGAAAAAAAAAAATTTAATAATAAATTATTTTATTTCTTTTTTTTTATTTTTCAATTTTCTATAATATTATAGAAGTATATCTTTGACAAAAAATACTAAAATAGTACGACAACCTACAAAAAATTGCAATACTAAAACAATACAATGAATGCAATTTTATTTATAATTATATAACAAAATATAAATACAATTAAAGTAAAAAAATTTTATTTATTAATTTTTATTTTGTTTTTTAGGTTTTTAATTTTTAATTACAAATTTTATTCTAATTATACTATTCATCTTTTTTACAAAAGCAAAATATTGTTACAATTAAAATATTATAAAGTGTTATAAAACACATAAATATACTTAAAAATATTTTTATATCTTTGTTATGAATAGACAACTTAAAATCACTGTGTAATAGTTAATAATATCAACTAGTCAATATATAAATAGGGTGTATGTATATGAGTCCTATTTTTACTTAAATAAAATAAATTATATTAATTGTGTATTAATACCGTTATACTGCAGTTTGATGAGCTTAGTTTTTAAACTTTCTAAATGAAAATCTCAATCAATTCTGAAACTTTTTCTATATAAATTTATAAATCGGTTTAAAATATTTTTTTTTTTTTTTTTTTTGTTTATAGAAAATATTAATTTTTTTAATAGAATAGGCGTATATTGTAGATTGTTACAATGGACTACGACCAATATATAAGGTTCTATTGTGACGTTCCACTATGTGTGAGAAAGTAGAATAAACGTACATTTATAGGCAAAAAGAAACGAGTCATATATATATATATATATATATATACTCAAACTTATTATATTATTTTATAATATTAATTGTTATTATTAAATATATATAAATTTTACTTAATTTTATAAAAAATTTAAAACTTTTTCGATAAATATATTGTTAAATAGCTTTAAATATTGTTCTTAAATTTATTCGATATTTAAGAATATAAAATTTTCTTTAAATAAAATAAAATATAGGTTAATTTTAACAATTATTTTAATTTTAGGAAAATTATTTTCTCTTTATATATTCTAACAAAATATTTTTGAATATTCTCTCTAAATTTCGGAAATGATAATTATTTCAAAACTGGCTCAGTAATTAATTTAAAATTTTAACTTATGATTATTTTTAAAAAGGTAATAGCAAAAAAATTTTTAAAAAAAAACATTCCAAATTATAAATTTTAAAAATATCAAATTATTTTAAAGATAAATTATAATTTTAAAGAGTAATAATTTGGAATTAGTGAATAAGTAATAAACATTTTTAATAAATGATCACGAATATTAAACACAATTTGTCCAAAATCACTTTAATCATCATACAAAACAGCTTTAATTTGTATCATAAGCAAATCAAGAATTTGATCGCTTTAAAAACAAAATTAAGAAAGGGAGATTGGAATACTTTTATTTTTTTTTTTTATTTTGAATTTAAAAAAGAAGAACAATCATTCAAATGAATATTATTTTTTTACATATAAGTACATTACATTATGTATTTTGTAAAATATATTTTTATAAAATATTATTATTATATACATACAATAATAATCACTTTAAATCAAAATTTCAAAGCTTTCTAGTCTTCATTAACTCAAAAGCGTATACATACATAGAAGAAAACTCAAACGTATGAGAACATCAAAATTTCAAATTTAATAAAAATATATTTTTTATTTTTATTTTTACTTTTTTCTCTTATATTTTTACTTTTTTTTTATTTTTGTCAAATTTTATTTTTATTTATTTAGAAAATTTCATTATGATTTACTTAAACTTTTTATATAAAAATTAATATTTTAATCTCCAGCATGTTAGATTTTCTATTGCATGAATATCGTTGTAAAATTATTTATTTTCTATAATATTATTCATGAAATTCTAATGAATGTTGTTAAATTGTCTAGATTTATCCCCCAAATTGAATTAAATTGATATGTAATTTTAATCATATTTAAAGTAATTTAAACCGAATGCATTTCTTATATTGTTTTTTTTTTGTTTTCATACAAAAAATAAATAGTTTAATTGTTTCTTTATCAAATTATTAAATATTTATTTTAGTTTTTTTAATAATTTAATTTTCATTTCTTATGTACTAATATTATTTACTTTTCTTTTTCATTTGTGTTTTTTATTCATATAAAAAAAAAATAATGAAACAAAAAAACAATAATAATATAGCTGCATCAGAGCGCTGTTCAGAAGGCGCGCGAAATTCACAACACCATCAGGGCAGGAACGCTGTCTCTGCGCCCCATCACCTTCGTCAGCAAGTACCTGCTTGCCAGAGCAGCGGACCTTGACTGAAGAACGCCTCACCTCCCGAAACAATTAGCTTACATTCCACTGATCAACAAATTTCACATTCACATATACATCACTGTAGTTTTGATAAAGATAATGATGATATAGATGAAACAAGATCAATTAAATCAATACACCATTATCATCGACATCAACAATCGCCGCATCATAGCGTACACAGTCACCATAGTCATAGTCGACATTCATCACCGCATCAATCTCATCACCATTCGCACTCGCATTTAAGTGATTCGCAATTAGCGCAAAGTCAACACCAACAGCAACAACAGCAATTACATCATCAGCAACAGCAACAACAACATCAAATGCAACAACAACAACAGCATCATGATGAAGATGATTCATATGATAAAATACAATATAAGCATGCACATCATGGCCATGGACATGGTCACACTCATCGTAATCGTCGTTCATCTAGACATCATCATAGTAGTAGCAGCGGACGTGGACATACAAGTAGTGGTAGTGGTAGTGGTGGACATCATTATAGTAAAAAACATCATCATGATAACTCTATTTGCCAAAGACGTCATAAATCTGCAACTGACGTTTCAAATATTTGTTGCCAAGATAAAGAAATACGTGAAATATTAATTCATAAAAAAGGCTGCTGTAAAAGAGCTAGTTCTTCGCGTTCTGAACTTGCTCAATATTTTGCTGAAGATTTATATGGTTCCTCAAGCAGAAGACCATCTTCTTGTTGTAGTGCATCTGAGTATTGTTATCATACAGATTCAACTAGTCTATATGGTTCAAGATCATCAACTTTAAGTCATAATAATTCAGTTAAATCTGGTGGTTCTGCTGGTCATAATGGACACAATGGCCACAGACGTCGTAGACCTTCGCAACACTATCGACATGCATCTTATAGTTCAGTATCATTGAGAGGTTTAAATACAAGTGCACCAGATAGTCAATTTGGTTCTCTAACATCTCTTATTGGTAAACCTCATGATAAAAAAAATGGCAGCAGTGGGAAAATTGTCGTTTCGCCATCAAAAGTGACAATTGAACACTCTTCGTCAAAAGAAAAAGAACTACCAGACTATGCATGTTCACCTTCGCCAATTCGTTGGAGTTTTCTAGCTGATTCAGGTAGTAAAACTCCATCTGAAGTTTGTATGGCCACTATTGGTGATGGTGGTGGACGCTGTGAATCAACACATACCTCATATGAATGTTTATCATCAACAAGAAAAGGTAAAGGAAATAATACCTCAGATCAACATACTGGTTGTCGTAATGTTAGTATTCGAAATGGTGATCAAAAACATAAATCAGGGCGCTCAAGTCGTACGAGACAACATTATCATACTAGCCCAAGTGATAGTCGACATCATCGAAATCGTTCTACCTCTGATAGTCATAAGGATCGTAGTCGCCATCCCCGAAGTGATAGTTCAAGTGGAAATGTAATTGAAAGTGAAGAATCAACAACAGCAGTAATATTTCATCAGGAAGGTGAGGCGTTCAATAATTGTTGTAGTGGTAACTATCTACAATGCAACGCGTATTTAGACCAAGATTTACAAATAACGAGTGAAGATATCTGTGAATATCTATCAAATAAAAATTCTGATGGTGAAGCTTTAAATAATACAAAAAATTATCCGTTTCAACCAACTTCAGCATTAGAATTTCAATTTAAAAATAATTTTCCAAATCAAACAATAAACAATAATACATCACCAGAAATACGTAGAAGTTCAATCAAAGAAACAAATTTAATGCAAAATAATGTAATACAATCAACGTTACCTAGCACATCAATGTTAGAATCAAATACTGAAATTGGTTTGACTCCAGCAAATATAAATTTATCATCAAGTTCAAATAACATTAATATTATATTTAATTCATATTTGGAAAATACAAATTCTAATAGTCATGAAGTTAAATTTATTAATACCTCACGTGATAACAATTTAAATTCTGATTTACATGCAAGCTTTTCCGGTTATGATTACACTAATGTTTCTTCAAATTCATTATTTGATAAACCAATTGGAATTGATGAAATACCATCAACAAATAATTTAATTGGAAGTTCAAGTTCAAATTTAAATAATTTAACATCATCGAGACAATTATTATCATCATCAACATTAGAAAGTCTAGAGACAACAGCTGCATCAAATCATAATTTATTATATTATAGATATTCAATATCTTCGGGACGTTCACAAGATGGTTATGAACAACATCATCAAAATTTTGAAATGTCATCGCCAAGATCTTCTGCCAATAATATTCAACATCATCACAATAATAATAATAATAATATTAACAATAATAATAATAATGATAATAATTCAAGACATTCATTGTTTTCAGCTATACATAATCGTTTTCAATACCGTGATTTAGATCGTCAACATCACCACAATCGTAGAAATAGTTTGCAATATAATAATGAAATTAAAGATAAAAATTTTAAAATAAGTAGCGCTTTTAAAAGGGTACGCAAACGTGCACGAAAATGTGCTGATTATTTACGTAAAAAATAAATATAAATAAATTTTAAAAGAAAATTATATGATATTAATAAATATTATATAATATCATTTATATTAATAGATTTATATGCATATATAAGTGAAAAAAAATAATTATACGTATTAAAAGTAAAAATAAAACAGACAAAACTGTATAAGTGAGATCAAATTAAAGAATTCCAAAAAAAATTGAATGAACAATTATTTTAAAATAAAATTAATAAGAAAATAAAAGTTAAAAAAGATAATTAAAAAAAAAAATACCGTTACGTTAAGTATTAATAAAAATTTTCAACATTTTTACACATAACACAACGATTCGAAATTCTATAAAATTTGAAAGAATAAAAATGTAAAAAAAAATAAATAAAACAAAAAACAAACAATATTATATAGTATAAATTTATATATATGTAAGAACTTATATAAAAAGTTTGTAAAATGTAATATATAATTTATATTATAGTCAAAACAAAATAAACAAAAAGATATTTTAAATTAGAAATCACAAAAGAGAATAAATAAAATAGAATCCACAAAGAAAAACTATTTAGAAACATCATATAAATCGATAAGTATTAAAAAATTTACTTACCCTAAATTTATTTAGAACAAAATTTATCCTGTTATATCCAATATCAAATTCACAAAACATTTATAATATAAATCTAATATAATAACTAACTTAATATAAAATATACGTTTATAAAATATCGAAATATAATAACTTCAAACCATTTTTGTAAATTTTTTTCCTTACAAAATTTTGAATTCGTTTTCTTAATCGAAATATAATATTAAAGAATAACAAATTTGTACATTTTTATTTTAAAATAGAAAATTTCATTTCATATTCAAACATTTTTTAAATTACAACAATTTTTTAAATATTAAAAAAATATTCCAAATTTTATTAACTATATATTTTTAAAATTTAAATAAAAAACATAATATTTCGTATATGAGTTTTAAATGTTTTACTTTCTAAAGTAAATAATAATTAAATTTCAAAAATTTTTCGTAATGCTACGAATAATATAAACAATAACATATTTTAAATAAATTTTATAATTTTATAATTAATATTTCAAATATTCTATATTAATAATTGAAACTGTATAATATTTATGTTAATAATTAATGTCTATTATATTGTATACTTCATTATTTTCATTTCGGTGCTTTGAAACTTTATAGTTTACAATAATTATGAACTGAAAAATGGTGTTATGAATTTTTAAAGGGAAATTTTAATTGTTTACTTAAGTTTATACTTAAGTTTAATTATTATTTTCAATTCTTAATAAAGTTCCATTCTTTCTTTATTAAATAAAGTTTAGTTTTTAATTCTTAAAGTTAAATTTTTTATTACTAATATCCGTCAATAACCAAAATTCAAGTTTTTTAATACTAATTCAGCAATATGATTAAAAAAATATGTACTTATTTTTTTTTTAAATCTTACCATTTAATAAAATAAAGAACTCAATTTTTTAATTTGGTAGTATCTATGAAAATATTATGTTTATCTAAGTATACTTGAATTCTTACTCAATTTTAGAATAAAATTGTTTGAAGTTTTGGTAATTTTATCATAAGATATTTTATAAAATATGAGTACCAATACAATATAAGAGTAATTAATGCATAATAACAATATTAAAAATAATAAAATAGAAATATAATAATATTTAATATGAACATTATATAAAAAATTATATAAAAAATAACAATTTTCAAATTTATTATCAAACATATAAACATATAAAAAATAAAATAATAACATATAAAAAATAAAAATTTTAAAATTTATTATCAAACAATATTGCCGAATGTACATCATTATTTAATTTAATAGAGAAAAAAACCAAAACCTAAAAAGACAAAAAAAAAAAATGAACGCGCTGGAAAAATGAAAACAATGCGATTAAAAAAAAACACTTTACCTAATTATCACCTTAAAAACCCGCGAATTCAAACTCATTCAATAATAATTTAAAAAAAAACTTTATATATAAATAATAGTATAATTTTAAGAACAACAGTAATTATAATAAAAATAATAATATAAATATAATTTCATAAATAAAATATACTAAATAATATAATATAAATACCAAAAAAAAAATCCAATTGGACACAACATTTATAATTATTATAATATTTTCTAAATAATGTATATACAAAATATACAATATAAAATTATAAAAAAAAAAAATAAAGTAAAGAAAAAACCAAAAGAAAAGAAAGGAAAATAATATAAAATTCTAGCCTAAAATTTTCAAAAAATTATCAATTTGTATGATATTTATCTCTCGAAGTGAATAGCAAAACAAACATATAATATTATGTACTTAAATTTAAATAAATAAAACAAAGGACAACAAAAAATAAATAAAGACAAAAAAAAAATATTGTGTAATTTATATACAATTTTATCTCTTTAAAATAAAAAAAAAAAACTTTTATTTTCCTTTTACTGTAAATATTAACTTATTATATTATAATAATTATATAAATATATAAATTATTAGGCACAATTATTGTTTAAGAAAAATTTTCCTTATTAAAACTTTTCATATTGTAAATAAATAGAAGAAAAAATAAAATATTTGTATACATATACTTTTATATATATATATATATATATATATATATATATATAAATATAACCTACACTCAATGTATTATAATTTAATATAAATACATCAGGTCATATATATATATTACATATATATATATATAATTGTATACGTATATACAATATATAAAATAATAATTAAAATTATTGTAAAAATTATAAAAATCTATTTCAAATATAAATAATTTTTGATATACAAATATGAATATACTTTTTATAAAAATGAAAAGAAAACCAAAAAAAAAAAAATAAAACAAAAAAAAAAATTAATATTTATA